GAATGAGGATAAGGAACAGTAATTCTCACGATGCTGAAATTATCACAGCTCTAGTTCAACAACAACTACTCACAGGCTACTTTCACAAGAACGAAGGTATCTGAAGTCTTACAGTACCACCAGGAAGTGACAGAGCCTAAACGCTAAAATACAAAGCGACTGCTGAAGAACGCTGCCCTGCAAAGGCTTCCTCAGAAGGACTACAGAGCTCTAGCATACCTTTGACTCACAAGGGCCTGCACAATCACAAAGCAAGCCCAAACTAACAGCTCAATACTATTAAAGAAAAATTCCCTTAATTCTACCTACATTAAGCTAAACTGCATCCGAACGGTGCTACCATTATGTGACCTGTGCTACTCACTCAATGGAACAGCACAGCCGAGGCACCAACACACCCGTATCTCTAGGCACCACCTAGTATTTTGTTATCTAGCACAATGTAAGATACGTCCCCGAGAACAGGAGATAAGCCTATCCTGCAACACAAGACGTATCTGTTTTCCTGAGTGCATACTGTGAAAACACACACTTTGCTACGAAAAGAGCATCCATCACACCCCGAGATCGTATTATTAGATCAACCAAAGCAGGAGGACAGCAGGAGCAGACTCAAGCATCTGTTTGAACTTCAAACTGCTGCTGTGAGTGCAGCGTGTCTTAAGTATTTGAGATAAAGACACAGTGCTGCCACAGTGCAAAGCACAGATGAAATCAATATGTCAGGGCTCTCAAAAGCAGTCTCTAACCTTCCACAACTATATGAAAATATACAGAAAAGAGCCCTTATGGCACCTGTTAACCCCACACTGAGCAGGAAGAGCCTGAATGGGGAAACAACCTGCATTTTAGCACACTGCAAGGAGGTGGCTTTCTGCTCCAAACAGTGAATCACTCTATTAGTGGCAGTGCACCAAGAAGCAAGGCAGCTCTAGCAGCCCTCACAGAGGTTTGAGGGAGCCTCTCTTTAAGGTTTACAAGATGAGGTAACTGAATACGTTCCGTCTACGTGCTCCATTATGCGATGCTATGGAATACTCAAGTTCTAAACATCAGACTTCTGAAGCAGCTACTAGACCAAATTTCTTAACTAATCGAACACATTTAGAAAATTAACTTTGGAGTTTTCTTGGTCCTGAAATATTTAAAATCTTCAAAATCTTCATAGAAAAAACAAATCTGCAATTTACCGGCATGCCCACAGGTGCTGCCTCCAAGGATAAACAGAGACATACAAGTTAGCCAAGAACAACATTAAGAGTTAAGGAATTTTTTTCTGTGCTTTTGTCATGAGTCATAGAGATCTAGGATTAATTATAGCCTGCACTGAAAGTATCTTAAAAAAAAAAAAAGCATCCCTGATTTCAGTTAGACAGTATTTCACGTCCAACAAGTTTTCACAGAGATGCTGAAGAATTTGTACAGCATCAGTAAAACTACAAAAGACAGCAAGACCAGATGGAAACTACTAGGACACAAGCATATTACAAGGACCTATTTAGTCGGCTTTTAAAGCTAAAAAGTTCTCTTAATCTTTAACGCTGAGCAATACTAACTGTAGCAGAGTGAAGTAGACGCCAAGAAGAGAAAACAAAAAAATCTGTTCTGAACTTCCTCAAACATTCAGCCCATTTCCTACTCTGTCTGACTCACATTGGGACTTACTTGCAAAACACTCCCAGCCATCAGAAAAAACAGAACTCAAAACAAAATGACAATGGTACTATACCAGCTTTTTGGCAGTTCTCCATATATGAGCGTCCCTAAAAAACATGACCCAGGGTTCCACAGAAAAACCTGGAGATCCTTAAAATGGTAGATTAAACTAGGCTTAGGACAGCCCAATTTAGCAATTACAAGCAAGCCCCTACAAGCTAATTCATGTACTTCGGTAAATCAACATAGCAATCTAAACCTATGATGCTTTCCGGGAGTAAGATAAAAAAATATGTATCTATTTACATCAGTCCTGGCGGGATGTGTGGTCAGGTGAATGCACACCCACGTCCCCTCTCCATCCCCAGGCCCCCACCTGTTGCAAAGCCCACGGCAGCGACCCACCAAGGCCGTGCCA